TTTGAAGATAATTATGGACCAAAACTCAAAAAGTTGGTCACCCCCATAACTTTCAGCACTAGGTTCATCCTAGCCTTAAAAATATTGCAATCTCAAGTCGAAGAAAGAGTTCAGAATTCAGGGGCTTGGAGGCAAGGAGCAAAAGTGCAGTTTTTGAAAAACATTGAGACATTAATGATTTTAAGTAAAACTAGTCTTCATGAAAAATTCGCTCTCGTGCTAATTCCAATTTTAAGCATCAAAAAGTCAGTTTGAACTTTCTTCCCGCTATAAGGATTTATGTAATTTCGAAACTTAAAGACGTATTCCTCATCTAAAAAGCAAAAACTGCACTTTTGCGCCTTTTCCCCCGGTAAAAATTGGCATTAAAATCTGTGTTCCAAAATACCATAGACCTACGGCCGGCTTTAAGATTTCCAATAGCTTCTATAGCCGGCTACACAATTTCTTATAGCCTTTTATAGCCGATGACGATTAAGCAACTCACAGCCAGGCGATAAAGTGTATGCTAAACGTCATTAATTACGGATACTAGGACTCAGTGAGTTTTTTGACCACTGCTCTCTTTTTGGGCCGTAGTATCTTGATTTATTTTGCGAGGAAAGCTCCGTACTTTTGATGGATGCCTGCCATTCCTAATATATTAGAGCGCCTTCAGTTTCGCATGATACTGTGCAATACCTCTGGTGTGAAATAGTTGCTTCAAGCGCCGTGGCACGCTGCGGTGCGGCAGGCGAGCAGCCAGCGCGGAACGCGCATTGGCGCCTACAAACCTAACAGGGATACTTCACTCGTTGCGCAATGCGTGAAGTATCCCTGTTAGGTTTGTAGGCGCCAGTGAGTTGCCGCTCCGCTTTGTGTTAGGCTCTAATATTTAATCTGGCGGAGTCAGCGTTATTCAACTCATGATTTTGAAATGTTTGCACACCCTGTATGGATTATTCTCGTTTTAATTGATGAAAAAAATGGGTATTAAAGGAAAATATAACGTGTGTTTTGTAAATATTAAGGTGGTTCCGTATCAAACTTAATGATTTCCAAAGCACACGAATTTCTACACAATTTCTTATAGCCTTTTATAATCGATGGTGAAAAAGCAATAGCCAAGCGATAAAGTGTAAAGCCCGGCTATAGGAACTATAGGCCGCCTGCGTAATTTTTTATCGCTTCGTATGGCCCGGCCGTATGATTTTCTCCGCATTCTACAGCCAGCTATATGATTTTCTGTAGCCTTCTTTAGTCGGCTATAAGAATTCCTATGGTATTTTGAAATGCAGATCTTATCGCCAATTTTTACCAGGGCCATCAAGTTCCTCAATTTAAGTCTGGCCGATTTTATCGGCCCTATGAAACTGCCACCAAAATTCAGAAAAAACGATGGTTTTTTCCTAAAATTTGGAAAGAGGTTGTATACAGCTGAAACTGGAGGTACTTATAACACGTTACCTGCCCCGGTGTTTTGGTACTGTCCCGATACTTTCCCTGGGGTCACAGCCTCGGCGTTTGTCAGGTAATAGTCCCTACATCCTAGATTAGCATGCCTTATGTATCGAAGTAAATTTGGCAAGGCCTGAGGGTTCATAAGGCGTTTTTTCATCGCCTAGCAGTGTATGGTCTTCATTAAGCTGCATCTTAGGATGAGTTTTGAGCAGTGGCGTGGCGCGAATTGCGATATATCGATTGTTATGCCATTTAAACCTATAGTAAAGAATCGATTATTAAGGTGTTCGTTGCGAACACCTTTTTTTCGATCCTCTTACATAGGTTTAAATGGCATAACAATCGATACATCGCAATTCACGCCACGCCACTGGTTTTAAGATTGAAACAAGTATTTAAGTAAATGAATGCATATAAGGGGACGATAAAAGGACAAAACAAGTATACATCGAGACACAGTTTATTTAATACTTATAAAAACATGTAAAAAAATCGACATTAAAAAATTAATCGCACGAAAGTAATAATTTACACAACATCATTTTAAGCTCCTTTAAAATAGGAAAGAAGATATAAGGCACGATGTAGGGTATGGTTTTGTGCGGAGTAAATGCCAGAATTTAAAATTTGTGGGTTCAATCTGAGGATCAGACACTCGAAACAAGGATCTATAAAAAACTAATTTTTCTTGTATTTAAGCACATTTATACTTAAGGAAACAACGTTTAATTACTCGCACTTAAATGCAAATGGTGGTTTGATTGGGACATTGATCAGCTATGTGATTCAAACATTCCAAAATTGTACTTGTTTCCTTCTCCTATCGATGAAAAATCCATAGACCTACGTCTTGTACTTAAATCTGAGTGGAGATCATTTTTTTTATTTAACTGATTATATAATTTTATTTACAATTAATTATTAGTTACATATGTTTCATTGAGGACGAATGAGATCAAGACTGATAAGAAAAAATCAACTTGAAATTAAACTGCGTAGCAATCGCAAAGTTGTTAATTAAATGAAGTAATGAAACCTGGAATAAGACACCGATGTATTGAATTTGAGGAAATGAAATTTTTCGAAAAAACGGATATTTTTTGAGATAACCCTCGGCTTTAAAGATAGAGGAAATGACAGAAAGGTCTCGAATGATCTTTTCAACCTTTCAGGCGATCAGTGACTGAATAGTGTACACACTGCGTGGGTTAGGTAATACAGATATTACTTTTTCATTGCATCATCGCAGTTGCTCATATCGACCTTGAAGTACTTTTTCACTGCTTTCAAATGAAATTTCAACGTACAGTTAAAGCAAGTGGCATGTGCCTGTCGTGACTTACTCATGCTTGAAATTACGTTCAAACCGCAACTTAGCACTTTGGTAAAAATGGCAAGTGTCAGGTCGGCGGCATTTTTCTCCAGGTGAAACAAGTAAAAAACATCGACCTCAGTGCCTTCAGTTTTTAAATTATGACAGCATTTTACATGCAGCCATGAAATACTATTTCTGGTTTATCCATAAAAGCACTTATTTACATAGGTAAACGAATGACACATACGTTGTTCCTAAAATGGGCCAGAAATAGTACGCAGTTCCGTATTCCAAATTGTGTTTATTCGTTCCATAGGTAAGCAGGGCCGGATCTAGGGGATGGCCACATGGGCCACGGCTCATGGTGGCAAATTTGGGGGCGGCAAAATGTTATAATTTTTTTAAGTGTAGGTTTAAAAAAATCGGATTCAGAAAAAAAATTACAGACGAGAAAAGGCGACAAAATCTCTTATTTCCCGAGAGTATAGTAATTTATAATTTTGTCGTCTTTCTTTAATTAGTCAAGTTATAAGAGAAACCAAACACGCAATTTAGCCTGGAACGACGCGGCGCAGAAAGCAATGATGACGAGGACTTGAGATGAAAAGGAAAAACCCTCGGCGCGGCGGTCGGCATGTAACACATATCATCGCCTACAAGACTGCATGAGTACTTCACGCATTGCGTCAAACACAGTGCGGTCAGCGTGAAACGCATAGCGCCTACAAGACTGCATGAATACTTCACGCATTGCGTCAAACACAGTGCGGTTAGCGCGGCGCGGCGGCGGAAGTTACAATTATTAAATCACATTTATGTTTGTTCTTTCATAATTTTTTTCGTTCATTTCTTCAAATGGAAGGCCTCGTCCACACAGAGATAGGTATACGGAACTTAACTTTTGCGCAAAGTTTTGTGAACTTTTACTAGCAGTGTTGACAGGGTTTTCACAAATAATGTGTCCAACAAGAATGAATGCGTCTAATGCACCCCTCTCCCTATGGCACGTTCATTTAATGGTTTTTATTGATGTCTCAAAACGAATGATAAAGGGGCGGCAAAATACAGGCGGCCCATGGGCGGCAAGTTGGTAAATCCGGCCCTGTAGGCAAGTGCTTTTGACCTCGCACTTACCATTTTTACCAGGATACAATGAATACAATGAAAAAAGTCTGATACCTATCACAAATCTAGTGTTTGATGTTGAATATCCCCTAAATTGCTTGGTTCAGAAATGCGTTTAAGCCTGTGGTCTGGTGGAATTGATAATGACACTTAACATTTATTTGCAATCCGTAAGATCTCTTATACAGCATGATTGCATCGGATAAATTGAATTTTACTCTAACACAAGACACTGCAGACGCTAATCGCGTAGATTTAGCATGATAATATAGACCGGTGGTTACATTGGTACTCAAACTGATTAAACTTTGTACAAAAATATTTACAGACGTATATTACACACTTAAGCCGTCAATAAAATACGTAACACTCTAAGGAGAAGGGGGGATCGAAAAGAGCTGTACATAATTTTACTCGTACGTGTGAAAGGATCGAGACGAACGTCAAAAAACGTTACAAGAAGAGGGGCAGGGCGGAAAGATCTAAAATTATTTAACGTAACGTATTTTGTAAACGGCCTAAGTAGAGTATCTTTATAGGGATAGTGCGGAAATATTGGTAATCCTGAGGTTAGGTAATGGAGTTCTTAGGGCCCAAAAGGGCAGACAACCTATGTATTCAAATTATCCAGAGTGATTTATTATTACAATTGTTACGATCCGTCATTATTTAAGCACGCACTTCAGGGGCGGACTGGCCATGGGGGCGGGGAGGCGATCGCCTCCTAACAATTTGCCGCGGAGGTTCCGAAGGGGCCCCCGCGGCGAATTTTTTTCAAGTCATCGTTTTTTCCCCCGTAATGTTGTAATTTTCCAATCCTTTCCAGTCACAGAAAGGCCCCAAAATCCTTGAAAATTTGTCTCTAAGAGACATGAAAGGTCACCTAAAGCTTATGTAATGAAGGGGTCCCCGAGGAATCCTGAGAATGGGTTATTTTGAAGTTCAAGTACTGCAGAATTTAACTCCAAAAATGCTTAAAATTGCGTTTAAAAAGTGTAAAATTTTCAAAATTGTCCGTGGGAGGGCCCCCGAACGACAGGAGGGGCCCCCTTTTTTAGGTCGCCTCCTAACTTTTCGACTGCCAGTCCGCCCCTGCGTGACTTAGTTTTGGCATAAATTTACTCATTTGAACGTATTTTATGCCAAAAGGAACTATGTCTTACGCAAAAATCTATGCACATAGTTCCTTTTAGCATAAGTACGTCCATTTTTGTGGAAGAACGCTCATTTATGAACATTCTTGGCAATTAGTGGCATTTTTCGTTTCCAAAGGTTGGCTACTCTTTTGGGTCCTTAGAGCTCCATTATTTAACAAGTTCGGACTCTCCCTACATAGCTACTCTACCCGTAAATACCTACAGGAACACGCAAAACTAGCTGAATTCCACTGAGAATTGGTGGTTTTTCGTTAGAAAAACGTTTTGCATGCCGGCTTCACGAGGATAAACAAGCACTCGCAATGTGGTATTATCAACATAACCTAAAATCGTCTCAACAAGCTCATACGGTAGATTGGCGAAGTAACTAAACGAAGAGTAACATGTATCGATACTCTCTTTGAGTAACTCGTTTCTGACCATACCCTTCTCAAACTGGTACCGCAGCATACCCCCGTAGATCGGGAACCTCTCCTGGACGTAATTGGAAGTTAGAATCCCGGCGATCCTGTCATTGGCGGCCAGGAGCGCCAACCGGTTGAGATCCGTCGTCAGGACGTCAAAATACGTGGCGCCGGAGTCGCCGACGCACTCTCGGCGCATGTCCGCCAGTTCGCTCTCGCACTTCCGCCGGAAGTCGGTGACCATTTCCGGGTCGTGGAAGAGGACCATGACGAGCTGCTGGCGGTAGAATCCGGCCACCTTCATCTTGATGGCGTGCTGGATGAGGACCTCGGTGGTGCTGGTGCCCCGCTCGTTGAACATGCGGCCCATGATGCAGTTGCTGATGAGGTGGACGTGGGGGAAGTGGACGGTGCACCTGTTCAGGTTCTCGAAGAGGGCCCGCACGTGGTTCTCCGGGACTATTCGCATGTCTGTTGAGCCGTATTCCAAAATTATCTGCAATCAGAAATGTATCATATGTATAAGAAAAAACACTAAGTAATGGCCCGAACTGTATGTAAAAAGGTGGGGAAATGATGCTGGGTCCACACCATTTCGCGGGGAAAACATAGGCAAAACGTTAAAAAATATCAATTAGAGGCAAAATTTTTGAACTCTTAAGGGTTAGTACTCTTTCAGGGGGGGAGGGTGTTCAGCTCAAGCAGCTGGCAGCTTTTTCGGGTTTTCCCTGTTTTGTAACGAGAGTTGCTCAGCAGCGACGGTAAATGGCGCGAGGATCACACTTTTGTGCCACGTCTAACGTCAAATGCGTGATGGCGTTTCGATGCCGTCTTTGATTTTGCGGGATGCAAAGTTGGGTTCACTGACGACCGTGATCTTCTAATGAGGTGTAAGAAGACCCAAAATGATATAGATATCTTGGCTTAGCGTGATCTCATCTTAATATTCCAATGCGAGCTACCTGCATGAGCTGAGCCACCCCTCCCCCAGTTTTGTACTAATACTCATTAGACCTCAAAACTTTTGAATTAAATAGAAATTTTTGGAACTTGTTGGCTTTGTTTTCCCCGCAAAATGGTGTGGACCCAGCCCTGACCGAGAAATAAATTACTGTGGAAATGCAATGCCAAATATAGTTTCTTTTTTTCAGACTCTTTAGTATGCCATCGTCTGCTATACTCACAATATTACTCGTCTGTACACCTGTCAAATATGTCTTTTCTTTAGGTGACTACGTCACTCTTTTAAACACATACAGTTGCAACTATTTAAAATAGTTGAACCTTTGCGAGTGATAGAGTGACCTATTGAGCGAGTAAAATAGATATCAAACACGTGACGTAGGATAAGTTGACATTGAAAATCGACAGCCAGAGAGACATAGTTCATTTTTTGCAGTTTGATTACCGCACCCAACAATTTGAGTCAAATTGCGAAACGGAGGAACCTTCATAAAAACCAAATAACTAGGTGGTAGTTTGGAAAAATAAAATAACTAAATTGAAATAATGAAGAATCCACTCCCTACTCAGCGGCCGGCAGAATTTGACATGCAATCCTACGAGAGTTTTCCCGACTTTTGGTTGACGAGCATATGTTTTCTAAATAAACAGCCAAACTGTAAAAACACGCTCCTTGGTTTCAATGTCTCTAAATTTTCAATTCTTCTTTTTAAGAAAAATAAAAAATAAAAAAAAACTTACTAGGCATTTTCATACAAAATATGTATAGAAAATTATTTGAACCGCGAAGAAAAATCACAAAAAATTGGTAAAGTTACGTTGATTAGTCATCTCTAATACGTGGAACGTGGAAGGAGATTTGCAGCGTCGCAAACCGAGATACGTGGTTTCATAGATTTATCGTCGAAATATGATTGTTTCGTTATTGCAGAGTGTTTTCTACCGTTATTTCTATCTATTTATACATAAATAAGCTGTCTGATTCTTCAAATGTTCATTTCTTGTAATAGTTACATCTAGAAATCTACCAATCTGATTTCTGTAATTTATTGGCTATTGGCATAGGAACAATCTCTAGATGAGCCTGAGCCCGCCTTCCTCAACTTTTCGAGTTATAACTCACCTTTCTTCGCCACGAAGCGACTGTATGAAGGCGCATAACGCTTTTTGGTAGCTAAAGCACGTATCTACCACCCTAGTAGTGATCGCGGTAACTTGCGATTTGATTGGAGAATGTATTGTGATTTTGTTGACGTCGATTTATTGCAATAATATAGGATAAAAAATTACGATTTCATTGCATAAATTTCCAATAAAATCGCGATTTTATCGACAACAATTTATCGCGATATTATCGCAATAAAATTGTGGTAAATCGGCTTAAAATTTCGATTTTATGGAGGTAAAATTACGACAAAATTGAAGATGATCGTTCAGATATTGTTGATCCGAGCAATTTTATCACCGAAAAATCGTATAAAAGCGACTCAATTTCAAAATATTGCGATTTTTCCGTCGACAAATTCTACTTAAGCAGGGAGGGAGAAAACCCCTGGTACAACTCTACGATTTGAATCGCGTTAAACAAATCACATCAGCTATTGCCAGATTTAATTGCGGGCAATTTAAATTTTCACATGAAAACGGTTGTGCAGATTTTTGTGCAAATTTCAGTGAATTTTTTCCATAGTACGAAGCGAATTCTTTAACATTTTCTAAGGTATCCGCACGAACGATCTCTCTTGAAAAATTAAACCGCCCAGTTAAATTTCGCAATAGTGGATGTGACTTGGTTCCTTCCTGATAAAAGCGGTCGATTTGGATTGCATTTAGCAAAAAGGAACCAGCGTGATTACAGTGTTTTCAAAATCGTGCAACTTCTCTTCTTCTTTTAAACGTACACTTAATATGTATACAGTATTAAAATTCACACTATTATTTTCCGTCAAAATTAACACTTTTTTTGATGGAAAGTCAAAACTATTTGCTATTCTGGAAGATTTTTTAGATAATCATGAATAAGCAACATTTCTACAGCACTGTGATCTCGCTGGTTCCTTTTTGTTGAATGCGATCCATTTAATCAATTTTGATATCCACCAATTTACTCACCCGAAATAGCTCAGGCCGCCACTCGTCGAACGCGGATTCCGTTAGTATCGTCTCCAGGAGATCCACCAGGTCATCGGCCACGATCCGGCTCAGAAGCAGCTTCACGATCCGCTCATTCCCCCTGCTGAACGCTAGGTACAACAGCGACGAGAAGTCCGAGAGCCTCATCACGGCGGAGCTGTACTCGAGGAAGGTCCTCAGGGTCAACGCCGGTTGCCTACCAGCAGGAAATGAAGGGGGCAAAAGAGGTGAGTCGAGGAGATAGGCAAGATCGGCGCCAGGCTTGCAGAGGAGGGACTCGAAGAAGGAGACGAATCTCTTGTTGGCCCCGCCGCGGAAGGCCAGGAGGAGGAGGGGGGAGATCTGGGGCTCGTCGATGTTCTGGTCGTTTTGGGGTGGGTTCTTGAGGAGCATGTCGATGAGCTCGATGTTGGGGTTGAAGACGGTGAGCCGGAAGACGGAAGGGCAGGACCTCTTCTCCGGGTTGACGAACTCGAACCCGTTCTTCAGGAAGAGGCTTGTGATGCCGTGGTGGTCGTAGAATAAGGAGTTGAACAGGCAGTAGAACTCCTCTTGCTTTGAGAGGTTCGCCAGCGGGAGGAGTCCTTGGACATCCGATAGTTTGCCTTCGTGGATTGCGCAGACCAGACCGCTTTTCGCACACTCTTCAAACTGATCGATTTCCATCGTGGAATGCGTTCTTGAATTCAATTTTTTTTTTAGAAAAATGCGTTTCGTGAAGCGCCTTCAATCGAGCTAACTGCAAAACGCGTTACGCGATGGACTGAAATGATGAAACGATGGACTGATGAAATTCACAAGGGAGGTCTTGTGCGATCGGTGATTTATTCCGTGGTTTGGTCAGGAGTCAGGAGCCACGATTATTTTCAACGGACTCAAAAACTTCGGATACAATTTGTGAGACACATTTAAATGTACGTCATAGAAGAAAATAGCTTCCTGCTAAAGATTTTTTGCGTTCTTGAATTCACTTTCTAGAAAAATGAGTTTCGAGAAGCGCCTTCAATTGAGCTAACTGCAAAACGCGTTACGCGATGGACTGACATGATGAAACGATGGACTGATGAAATTCACAAGGGAGATCTTGTGCGATCGGTGATTTATTTCGTGGTTTGGCTAGGAGCCACGATTATTTTCAATGGACATAAAAACTTCGGATACAATTTTCGAGACACATTTAAATGTACGTTATAGAAGAAAATAGCCTCCTGCTAAAGATTTTTTGGTATGATGCGTGTCAAAACAGTTAAATTGCAACACAGAATTAATCGAATCGTCCTTTTCATATCAACCGCGGTTGACGGAGATGGAACCGAAAAGTTCGTGCGTCAGTCACTGATTTTTAAACGGATCCCGAGGATGATGAGAGTATGAGGATAATTCCCAGAGGAAACACAACGATACAGCAATGCGTTCCGGTAAAATACGTGGTTTATTATTATTAGAGGCTGTATTGCCGAAAATTCGCAAGAGAAGGTTCGTAGAACGAGATTTACACGAATTCCGATTAATGTTATTGCTGAGGAAACGTTAAACGCGAAATGATTGTTGACGTTTCGATCCAAGATTAACAGAACTGCACCGCGGTAGCTTGACAAATGCGACTGATGGAATCGGATTGTTGTATATGACGATGAAGTAACAGCTCACGCCGGTTTTTGAAGATCTCGGTGCGATATATTAAGTAGAAAAAATCCAGCTCTTATCAAGAGATGCGCAAACAGAGGCTTGACTGCTCCACGATAAAAACATTTGACCTGCGGGTCAAATGAAATCTTCATCATTCTTGCGGAGGTATGTACTGTGTCCATGTTGCACGATTTCGTTTGAATTGTGGGAGGAATCTAAAGATATTCACAAGCTTTTTTACTTTAAGTAGAAGTAAAAGACTCCTATTTCCTTGATCTTATATCATGAACGTAGACACCTGCGAGAGATATGTAGTTGAGCCTTTTGTTGTTCTTGTAGGGAGTCTGTCTCTAATGCCTGTGTTACGCCCAGTCTAATTGTAAGAGCTGGTTAGTCCAATACAAGGAAGAATCCAGTTTTCATCGTCCCCAATATTGTTATGGTTTGATTGATAAGCATTAAATTAGTATTATTTCACAGTTCAAAAGCTGATGATATATAGCAGACAATAGCGCGATGCTTTTCGACGGCAGTATTTTTATCAACCTCGGAAATATGCACTTTATTTATGCCCTGGTAAAAATTGGCGATAGGAGCTGCGTTTCAAAATACCATAAGAGTTCTTATAGCCGATTGAAGAGGGCGATAGAAAATCATATAGCTGGCTGTCGAAAGTGGGAAAAATCATACGGCCGAGCTACACGCAGCGATAAAAAATTATACAGCCGGGCTATAGTTCCTATCGCCGGGATTTACACTTTATCCCCTGGCTGTTGCTTTTTCACCATCGGCTATAAAAGGTTAAAGGAAATTGTGTAGAAATTCGTGTGCCTTACAAAACGTACATTATATTTTCCTTTACTACATATTTATTTTCATCAATTAAAATGAGAATAATCCATACAGGTGTGCAAACATTTCAAAGTCATGAGTTGAAAACGCTGACTCCACGAGATTAAATATTAGAGCCTAACACAAAGCGGAGCGGCGGCGCACTGGCGCCTACAAACCTAACAGGGATACTTCAAGCATTGCGCAATGCGTGAGGTATCCCTGTTAGGTTTGTAGGCGCCAATGCGCGTTTCGCGCTGGCTGCCCGCTCCGCAGCGTACTACGGCGCTTGAAGCAACTATTTTACACCAGAGGTATTGCACAGTATCATACGAAATTGAAGGCGCTCCAACATATTAGGTATGGCAGGCATCCTTCAAAAGTACGGATCTTTCCTCGCAAAATAAATCAAGATACGACGGCCCAAAAAGAGAGCGGTAGTCCAAAAACTCACTAAGTCCTAGCATCCGCAATTAGTAACGTTTAGCACACACTTTATCGCCAGGTTGCTTAATCGCCATCGGCTATAAAAGGCTATAAGAAATTGTGTTGCCGGCTATAAAAGCTATTTACAATATTACAGCCGGCTGTAGGTCTATGGTATTTTGGAACACAGATTCTACTGCCAATTTTTACTAGGGTGAAAAAAGTAATCGCATGCATACCTGAAAGTAGAAAAATTTAATCAAAGGACAAAAACTGTTCTGTTGTCATTTTTTGTTTTTTTAATTTAAAAATTCTTGTATTGAAAAATTCTCGGTCCCTACTCCGAACGTCTAAAAAATGAATCATAAACAGGGAAATACCTCAAATATATTAAAACATTTTCTAGTGATATACCTGGGACCAGAAGTTTTTTGTTTTTTCCTTTGGTTCTTTTTTTCCTTATCAAGTTTCAAATATCAAATTGGCTAATCCAACACTTATTACCTCAGCATTAGATGACCATTGTCCAGGACCATCGAACTGTGGCTGAAAACGTGGCCAGGAATCGAACCCAGGACATCTTGGTCCTATGGCCAGCGCTCACTACACCACAGGAGGCCGACGAAATTGCACTTCATAAAGAATAAACAAGGGGATAAAAAAAATAAGGTGAATGTTACACACCGTGGCATCGCTGAGCCGGCGAGCTCTTTCAATGCAAAGAATTGCTCCAAAACAATTGATACATGCTTTTGCAGCATGCCTTATGGGCGCAATATAGTAAATAAGTCACATCTGATTCCTTGTGATCATGTTCATGATGAGTGCATATTAATTTGAAAGTGAGAGTGAGATTAAGCGAGAATAAAAATGCCGTGACGCAGATGAGATGTGAACAACGGATCTCTCATGATCAATGCGAGCGATTTTCTCAGCTGGGATCTAGAGGCGAGGTGGAAACATTTAGCCAGAATCACTTTGACTGCATTTAATGTCGCCCAATTTGCTTTCATGTTTCATTTTCTTACTATATGAAAAAAAGCTAAGGCCTTTTTTGTGTGTACGTTCGTGTCGATTTGCATTCTCATCGGTCATTTCATTAACCAATCAGAAAACGTCGTTGAAAATCCCCTGGAAATTTAAATGAAATCTTCGATGTATCATTTTATATAAAACAGGATAGACATGGTTAAAAAGGGGATGTATTAATATTAGCCGGGTTAAAAGGGAGGAATTCTAAGAAAAGGGGAATAATCAGAGTGAAACGGGATGTATCTGTATACAACAGGATAGATAGAGATAAAATAGGATAGATAGGGATAAAATAGGATGGAAAAGGATAAAATGGAATTCATCCCACCCTTCGATATATTGATCTTTGTTTATCTATCTTCGATTAAAGTTCGAAATAAAACAAGATAGACATGGATAAAACGGGATGTATATTCATTAACCGGGATAAAAAGGAGGATACCACTCTTTGTTTATCGATATTCGATATATCGTTAACGCCTTATTTTTTGCGAAAGCCCTGTCAACACTGCTAGCAAAAGTTCACGGTACTTTGCGCGAAAGTAAAGTTCCGTAAACCTCTCTGTGTTGACAAGGCCTCCCATTTATGAGAAATGAACGAACAAATTATGAAAGAACAAACATAAAAGTGGTTTAATAATTTTAACTTCCGCCGCCGCGCCGCGCTTGTGTTTGGCGCAATGCGTGAAGTATTCATGCAGTCTTGTAGGCGCTATGCGTTTCGCGCTGACTGCACTGTATTTGATGCAATGCGTGCAGTATTCATGCAGTCTTGTAGGCGCCATGCGTTCCGCGTCGACCGCTGCGCTGCTGACCGCACAGTGTTTGATGCATTGCGTGAAGTATTCATGCAGTCTTGTAGGCGCTAATATGTGTTACATGCCGACTGCCGCGCCGAGGACTTCTCCTGTTCATCTCAAGTCTCAATGTGCACCTCCCTCAACCCTCGTAACTCTCTTGTAACGTAGGCCCCTTAAATGAGACGCTTAAATGGGACAAAAGTTGCACAGGGAAAGAAGTGGGACTAAAATTTCACCTTAAGCGAGAAGTAAGCGTCCAGCTTGGACTTGGCCTTCTCAAGCCGGAACTTGCAGTTGCGGTGAACTGTCTCTAGCCAGTCCTCATCCTCCACGCTTGGAAGGTGCGGGGTCGCCGTGAGCCACTCTTTGATCTGTGCAATGTCCTTTTTGATCTGCTCAGAATGCTGCTCGGTTCCCTCGTAAAAAAGTAAAAAAATAACTAAAGCATGCGCGGAAACCTGGTAACGTGTGATGCAGTTAGGCTCATCTTTGACGATGTCTTCCAACGACCATTGGAAACATTTGACTCAGTCTCTACAATTATTTGGCTGTCATTTTGCAATAAGGAACCAATACACGGAAAAAAAAAGAATTGCTGATTCAGCAATTCAATTGCTAAAAACAGTGAGTGCAATGTTTCAACGCAGATTTTACAACAAAAAAATGCTACTTTAACCACCCCCGTGGTTGAATTAGTTTACAATGTGGTTAAATTAGTTTACGATGCGGTTGAAGTAGCATTTTTTTGTTGTAAAATCTACTGTTTTTAGCAATTGAATTGCTGAATCAGCACTTCATTTTTTTTCCGTGTATCTCTGGCTCCTCCATAAAATCACCTTTTTGCATAGGGAGACTAATGGCATACATGTTGTTCCTCAACTGAGCCAGAAATAGTAGTTTCTCATTGCTAAATGTGGCCACTTTAGGGGGCCTTGCCGCGGTCAATGGTCCCTGAGAGGTTGTAAGAGATTTGTCACAAAAAAAAAAAAAAAAAAAAAAAAAAAAAAAACTTCTACCATAAAACTTCGAAGAATTTAACCCCTTTGGACTACTTAGTAAGCACATTCAACCCACAACTTTCATGACTGAATTTTAAAAAAAATGGGTGAATGAAAGCCAAAGTGGCCCACTTGCATTACAAAGCTGCAACTATATTACTTAATATTTTATTTATTTATCGATGGATGTTCCTTTTCCAGTTGAAAATGTCGGATGTAAAAGTGCCGACAAAATTTACTGGATTATGAATGGATGTGTAAAGAGAATAAATGGATATTAAGAAACAAAGAGTTGGAAAATTAATGTGTGTGGCTGTTGAGCGATAAGAAAGTTACATAGTAACCGAGAGATAAAACTGAAATTATTCCACGATTATAAATAACGGATAGTATGTAAACAAAAATAATTATAAAAAATTAAGAGACATTAATCTTATCGGGCGATTAGAAAATTGGCGGTCGTTAGTGAAATTCCAATCCTCAATGTGCATGCACTGATCATGTGATGCTCTGTGAGAAAGCATTCTTGAGTTTTTCGACTATTTTTCACCGAATTTTCTTCCTCAATGAAGAGAATTGGGAGATAAAAATAAATCAATTAAAAACAAAGATCACCCACTTTTTCGTATCATATCGAGAAATAATATCATCGGAGCATGATCGAAGCATGTGCATAGGAACGAGTCATGTAGTGACATGTGCATGTGTCATGTGTTTACTAAAGGGCCTCATGCCTGGACCGCTAAGCGGCACAACCCCCGTCCTGCACTTAGCGCCGCGACCGTTGGCAGCTGTTGCGTGGCAACAGCGGAGCGCATCTTGTCATTTATCCATGCTACGTAATCCATGGATCGTATAATGGCCCAGTAGACAGGATCGGAACTAAGCATTCTGATATATATGTCTACG